CCCCAAAACCCCAAAACCCCAAAACCCCAAAACCCCTAGATAATAGTAGCTTTTTGATAATTAAAAATAACAACCCTCAGCCAAAAATGGACATCTGCGAAACCTTAACTCAAATTTGTTCAACTCTCTACACCCTAGAAGTCTCTCCAAATCTCCCATCCACCTACAGCACTCCAAAATTCACCTTCACTCGACTAGCCCCCACCCAAATCTACACCTGCAAATAAGCCATTCAAGAGCACAAAGGTCCAAGAGGCCTCTGCTACACTTGGCTCAGACACTAAAATCCTAAGCGACAAATTTTTGACCAAAAAGTTTGCTCTTCTGTTACGAATCTATGCGGCTAGAGCCCCTGAAGCCATTGAAGGCCTCGAGGTCATCGAAGATGCCTATTTCGATAACAGTTCACTCTGCATCGAAGTTTCTAGCAACGTACAAGATCTTGGACTGGAAGACCACAAAACGAGGGAGCCTGGAGGCTCAGGCGTCAATGTAAGAACTATTGGGGTACTTCGGTCGGTATTTAGAGAGAAATTTGGCACTCCAAGGCAAAGTTTGTTCACACAGATGGCAAAGAGCTCACTACGCGTCCAGATTAGCAGCGAGTTTAGGGAGATGTACTACTGGGTCGTGTTTGTGTTCCATAAAGATTTTATAGGGACTAATCGGATATATGCGGATAGTGAAAGGGGAGAAACTGTAAAGAAAGGCAAAATTAAACCTCCCAAGCTCTTTGGAGATACTATGGGCATTTTTGCAACCAGAAGTCCGCATAGATACAATCCGATTGGGATAAGTATTGGCAAACTTGAGAAAACAGTTGTTGAAGATGACTCTACTACTTTATACTTCGAAGGTCTAGATTTAGTTCATGAAACACCAATACTTTGAGTCATTCCATACACTTGAGATCATTCAGTGAAATCGTTGGAGATTCCTCAATGGCTTTCTGATACTCAAAATGAGAAACTACTGGACGTAAAGTTTACCTCAAACTCTATGGAGGATATTGATGGATTACTAGAATCTGGAATACTAGAATTTTACCACAGCTCTTCAGACCTGTGATCACTGATTGAATCAGTTCTGTGTCTAAACCCTCACTCCACTCATGTACTCAAATCTCATAGCAAATCTCAGCTTTATGGGATAGAGCTTGATAACCTAAACATTATCTATAGCATGGATTCTGAAAAAGAAGGAATTGAAGTGCAAAGAGTGCTAGACATTAATAACTGTGAAGAGTACTATGGTCATATTAAAAAGAGTAGTTAAAAATACTTGCTTATAGCTAAAAGTAAGTCAAGTGTAGTTTTCATGATAAAACATCATGACCACAATCTTTCTGGACTAGCTTCAATCTAGCACCACTGATAAGGGGTTTTGGGGTTTTGGGGTTTTGGGG